GTATCAATTTTGAATCGGTTAAAGGGGATTATAGACATTAAAATTCAAACTAAAATCATTTATAGAATAATTATCCAATATTTAACTTCATCCTAACTCAAAAGCAAATATATTTAAGAAGTTTAGCAATAAGTATATATTAATAATTAAAAGACCATAAGCAACAGAAAAATAAATGACCAACACACTACATCATAAAGAATTTACATCTAATATTATTTTAGTTTATTTTTGCAAAAAATTATCAATCACGAGAAACTCCAAATCTTCACAAATTCTGATCCTCAAAAAAATAAAATACTTATGGATTTGTAGAATAAAAATCTAAGTTAGAGTTATAGAAATTCAATATTTAAAAAAGAAAATGAATGATTCCCATAAGTAGAATGAAGATCTCTCTTAGATTTTGATTAAATTAAAGGTGTGGATGAAAGAATATACAGTTTGATAATTGGGATGCTAGGAAAATAGAATTCTTAAGACTGAATGGATTTCTTTCAGAAAATGAAAATCTAAGACATCTAGAAGAGTAAATTTCACAAAGTGAGGATTCTATTCAAGAAGAAATCATCAGATTTCTGAAATTCTTAGTTCACCCCACAGCCTATGTTTAACTTTAAATTGTGATAGATGCTGCTAAAAGCATGAGGTATTTTAATCAGTTATATTTAAAAAAGTGTTATAAGACTAATACTCATTCTTTTCATTTTTTATAATACTAAAAGATAATTTGAAAATCTATAGGAGTTGTTAACTTACACAAAATTTCTTATAGTCTAACTTTGAAAATTAGAGTAAGTTAGTGGGAGATTTATGAATGTGATGAAAAAAAAAATAATCTCTTTACATATGATTCAATTCTCCCATCCAAAGCTTAGAGTATTCACCTAGAAGGAAACTGCAGGATCTAAATTAATAGTCCTCTTACTTAAATAACAGACTAACACTCTCCTTTACCTATTAAGAGTATTTAAATCAAATTCAATCTTTTCCTTCACTAGAGTTGATTACATCATCGCTGAGCCTGCATTAAGGATTATACCTCTCGGTGAATCTAAAATACTTAGTATGAAGTTTAAGATAAATAAGCCAACACTTAAGCAATCGCTCCCTTTAAATCATTAATTACTTATTCTCATACTTCCAGAAGCCCCTGATGTCGTTTACATTCCTCATTTAACATTTATTCTTTATTACTTCCAAGTTCTCTTATATATGACCGCCATAATGCAATTTATGGATCAAATATTAATTATTCATAATAAGGTAGTTTTGGGTTTAGATTTTAACAGTCGGCCATTACCGCTTCAAAGTTTAATAGTGCCAGAGATTTAAAATGCTCTTAAGAAAAGACAATAAAACTATATATTTAATCGACTTTTTCTAATTATTCTAGCTTTCCTTATTAAGGTCTATTTATTCCTTAATACAGCCATTAGTTGTTTAGAAGCAAATAGCATCTTCTCTAATTCTTCTCTTTTAGCTCATTTTTTAGTACATGATAATCCTAAGGGTTTTAGTAATAAAAATTTTTCTTCTTTTATCATACCTCAGAATTTGATATATATGCCAAAACTTCTGAAATACTATTAAAAATTAATTGAATCATTTAAATAATGAGTTATATGTATTTAATAATAATCAATTAGATTATTTTATAATTCTTAAATTAAGAGGTTTTATTAAAATCAATAATTTCCACTTAAAATTAAAAAAAAAAGGCAAATACATTTACTCACAATTCAAACTCAATAAAGAAAATATAAAAATTAAACAAAAATTATTCCTAAGTTCTTTTGTAAAGATAGCACAATATTTATTTTATTTGGGAGAAGATTAGATATACGCTGTTTGATTCAATTATATGATTGGATATATGGCAAAGGAAAATTGGATG